GGTGGGCGGAGACCCTTTTATGTTAACGTGGGGGGAACTTGTGCCAGGTCTGTGAGTTTGGTCCCGGGTCGGATGCCTAACCACTCATTCCTTGGCGCCTTAGAACCGTCACTCTATCAGTTTCCTCGTTTGTGAATTAGAGGTGATGAGAATTGAGATGAGGCCTGGTCTATAGTGAGCCCCCCGCATTTCTTGCATATAGTTAGCACGGCGGCTTGGCCCCGCCCTGCACCCCAATGGTCTCAAACTCGAGGGCTAGAACGTAAACAGTGATTGAAGTGGCCCAGGGTAAGAAGAATAACAGCCGAGGTGCTTAGCGTCAGAAGAGAAGAGGGGAGAAGAGACTGGGTTTGGGAGGCAGGTTGCCTAGTTCAAAGCACGCCTCACGCTTTACTTGAGGCATCACTCTGCTGGGCCTCACTTTTCACATCCATAAAAGGGGTATGGGGACTTCCCTGGTGGCTCAGTGGTTAAGACTCGGCGCTCCCAGTGCAGGGGGCCCGGGTTCCATCCCTGGTCAGGGAACTAGATCCCACGTGCATGCTGCAACTAAGAGTTCGCGTGCCGCAACTAAGGAGCCCGCCCGCCGCAACTAAGACCTGGCGCAACCAAATAAATATTTAAAGAAAAGGCGGGAGGGGGGTGATACTAGTCCTACTTCACTGGGCTGTTGTGAAGATTAAGTGAGATGCTTGTTTAGTGCATGGCATATCATAGGCCCTCAGTAAATATTATCTGCTATGTTCCAGGTTTATCGCCCTTCCTTGGGCATGCCGCCAATTAACCTCTCCCTCAGTGTGGCTTAGAGGATTTGGAGGCGACCTAAGCAGATAAGCAAAGATGTCGCTGGAGAAATGGACTCTGGTGATTCCATCTAAACATAAGAAAAATGCTCAGATGGAAATTCTGAGTCTTTCAAGATAGGCCTGAGAGAGGTTGGCAGGTGGTGGCCATTACTCTTCGAATACAGCTGGTGGCTGTCAACTGTTTTCGGCGTTTGGAGAGCTTGGGGAAGTAACACTTTGTAATGTCAAAGTTTATGTATGATCACGCTTCGTCCTCCTTTTCGTTCCAAGTTTGTCTATCATTCAGACTCACTACTTGGACATTTTGAAGTAGTTGTGGAGAATGAGTGATAACTTTTTTTTTTTAATGAGGTGAATTTCACATTGCATTAGATTAATGATTTTAAGTGAACAACCCAGTGGAGTGGCATTTAGTATGTTCATAATGTTGTACAGCCACTACTTCTACCCACTTCCAAAACATTTCATCAGCATGGAAGGAAACCCTGTACCCATCAAGCAATTATTCCTCATTCCCCCTTCACCCCAGCTTCTGGCAACCAATCTTCCTCTATGGAATTAGCAATTCTGGGTATTTCATATAAATGGGATGTGTCTGGCTTCTTTCACTTAGCATGTTTTTAATGTTCATCATAATATCAGTATTTAATTCCTTTTTATAGCTGAGTAGTATTCCATTGTGTGGGTATCTGTTGGACACTTGGGTTGTTTCCACCTTTTGGCTGTCGTGAGTAGTGCTGCTAAGAACATGTGTATTTTGAGTATCTGCCTTCAGTTCTTTACGGTGTATTCCTAGGAGTGAAATTGCTGGGTCATACGGTAATTCTGTGCTTAACTATTCGAGGAACTGCCGAACTTTCCCACAGTGGCTGCACCGTTTTACATTCCCACCAACCATGTGCGAGGGTCCCAATGTTTCCACATCCTCATCAACACTTGTTATTTTCTATTTTATTTTTAGTACGTCCCTCCTAATGGATGTGAAGTGGTATCTCATAGTGGTTTGTTTGTTTCTTTTGGGGGGATCAAGCCATTTTATTGAGGGGCATCGGGAGAGGGCCTTAGAGCTGGGAGGACAGTGGTATCTGACATCCTTCTCCCGGCCCTGGGATCTTCTCAGCTTCACAGTCTCTGAAAGCTCATAGTGATTTGGGTTTTTTGGCTGTGCCAAACAGCTTGTGGGATCTCAGTTCCCCGACCAGGAATTGAACCCTGGCAACAACAGGGAAAGCCTGGAATCCTAACCACTAGGCCACCAGGGAACTCGCGAAAGCTCGTGGTTTTGATCTGCATTTTCCTAATGATACTGAGCATCCTTTCATGTGCTCATTGGCTGCTTGTATATCTTCTTTGGAAAAATGTTTGTTCAAGTCTTTTGTACATTTTTAAATTGGGGTGGTGTTGATTCATATATTATGGAATGGAAAAGGAAGAAAGAAAAACAATGAAAAACCTCTCCCACTCTTTGCCAGTCTCTGCTGGGGCACATCCATACTTCACCTGGGTGTTTATAACTCTGCCTTAGTCTTCTCTTCCTGTTTGCATCAAGCTTAGAAATCAGCCAGAGATGAAAGAGTAGGGTCTTCTCAGGTCTTTTCTGAGCATTTGTCCTGCCCTGGGCATGCACATTGCTTTCTAAGTTACCCAGTGTGTATGGGTGCTTTTGAATGCCTTAATTACCCAAAGAAACTCTCACCCCAGCTTTTCCTCCCAGCTTTTGGTAAGTCAATTGTAATCTTGTACCCCAGAGAACTGTGGGTTCTCCCTTTGCCTTACAGTGTTTTCCAAGAATGTGTTCTGAGTTAAACAGACAAGCACCTTGAGGCAGTCCCTCAGGTAACCCCCAGACATCTTAGAACAGACACACACAATACTGTGAGAACGAGGGCTGCTCTGCTCCCTTAGAAACTGGGGAGCAGGGCCCTATACTTCACTTGAAGACATAGGCTGCTGTCTTCAAGTCCTCCACTGTGCTGGGAAAGGAGATGAGGAAGGGCAGGGAAAACACCATAAAAAGCTTTCCTGCCATGATCAAGTTGCCTCTTCTTGATTCAGCATTTCCTTGGTTGGCATCAACGTTGAGCTGTTTTCCAGAGTTTGGATAAAGTTAATTCTTACCACTTTTGCTCAGTTGGTCGATGTTTTGGTGGAGGTAGAGGCCCATGGAGCTACCAGCTCTGCCATTTTCACTGTCGTCTGGGGTGAATGGGTGATTCTTGTTTCCCTCAATTAAACAAAACCATCCCCCTCCCCAAGTATTCAACAAAATTTACTGAGTGACACTGTTAATAAAACAGACAATGTCCTCATGGAGCTGTCATCCCAGTGCTCCTCCACTAAATGATTTCAGGAAGTCAGAGGCACTGAGAAGTAACTGCTAGGTGGGTAGGTGGGGATGGTTCATTTCACCTGGATGGAGTCAGAGAGCTTCCCCAAGAAGGTGGCATTGAAGCTCAGGTTTGAAATAGAAGGGAGAAGAGGCAAGCAGAAAAGAACAGTGCTCTGAGGTCAAAGGCTCTCAGAGACTTCAAGAGGCAGAAGGGAGATGAGGGTGGGGTGGGTGAGAGGAGTAGCCAGAGAAGAGATGGGAGCCTTTGGCAGAGGCCACATCATACAGAGTCCCTCTTCCGTTTGTAATGTTGGCCTAGGATCTTAGTCTGGGGTTCTTATAACCATGGGGAGTTAGCAGACTGGCTTCTGGAGGTCAGGAATCCCCTGAAATTAAAACCAAAAGATTACAAGACCATGTGCTGGGCAGACTCACTACTTGGACATTTTGAAGTAGTTGTGTTTGTTTGCCCCACCAGAGCTGTTCTCTAACATTCCCTGTACTGCTTCGCAGTGGGAGGCAGGGAGCTGATATCGACACACCGGGTCAACTTGGCTTCCTTTTCCTCTTATTTCCAGTTGGGTTCAGCCCTGGTAGGATATCTGAGGGCCGAAGGAAAGGAAGGTCTAGGTATCTATTCCCTGGCTCCTACCCTGTTGGTCTGCTTCTTTCCACCAAAGCTTGTAACTCCAGCTCTCTCCAAGTTCCAGAACTGTTTTCTCCCCAGCAGCTTCAGGCCTGGCTGCTAACAGTTGCCTGACCCCAGGGAGTCACCATCCGTCATTGCTTTCCCTTCACCCTGCCCATGACTCCTCAGTCCTGTCTCTTAAGGGCATAATCTGTGTGTCAGCTGACCAATACAGGTATGTGTGGCTATTTCTGAATTCAAAATTCCAGGTTGTAGGGACTTCCCTGGTGGCGCAGTGGTTAAGAATCCGCCTGCCAATGCAGGGGACACGGATTTGAGCCCTGGTCCAGGAAGATCCCATATGCTGCAGAGCAACTAAGCCTGTGCGCCTCAACTACTGAGCCTGCACTCTAGAGCCCGCGAGCCACAACTACTGAAGTCCGCGCGCCTAGAGCGCGTGCTCCGCAACAAGAGAAGCCACTGCAATGAGAAGCCCACGCACCACAATGAAGAGTAGCCCTTGCTTGCCGCAACTAGAGAAAGCCCACGTGCAGCAGTGAAGACCCAATGCGGCCAAAAAAGTAAATAATAAATTAAAAAAAAAAAGAAGCTAGGAAAAGAAGAGCCAATTAAACACATGGTAACTGGAAGAAAGAACAAAATAATGAAATAGAAAACTGAAAATAGAGAAAACAACAAAGCCAAAAGTTGGTACTTGGAAAAGATTAATAAAACTGATTAATCCCTAGCAAAGCTAATCAAGAAAAAAAGAGAAAAAACACAAATATCTATTATCAGGGATGAAAGAGGAGACATCACTACAAACCCCACAGATATTAAAAGCCTAACAAGGGAATATGAACAGGCTTATAGCAATAAGTTTGATAAGTTAGATGAAATGGACAAACATGAAAATACAAGCATGCTAGTTGGAATCAAAGAAAATTACAAGGTACTATGGCAGGATTCAGCAAAGGCATTTTTCTAAGTCCAGAGGAATCTGGAAAGATTTCTTAAAAATGGCACTTAAACTGAGACCTGAAGCAGAAGTGGGATTTGACCAGGTCTATAGAATTGTGTTCCAGGCAGGGATGATGGAACACATGCAAAGGCCCTGAGGTTGAAATGAGCTTTGTGTATCCAAAGAAAAAAGCCCACCCTAATGGCCCTTTTTCGTATTTGGCAACTACATGCTTACATCCTTCCTGGGTGTAAACCTCCAGGTGGACCTACCTGCTGGACTTGACCAGAAATGTTTGGAGACCAAAGCAAATCTGGTAAGACAGACCTTTGGAAGTTTCTGGGCTGTCAACAGGAGGCAGTTTATGCTGCAAACAATGTCATTCCCTCAGTTCTGCAGCTAGTGTTTCCTTCCACCTGGCTGGTGAAGCCCCTGAGGCTTTCCTCCCCTGTGGCCTCACACTGGGAACACTCACACTGCACTAGGCATTGCACTTCATGACATGAATTCTTTGGAGCTAGTGTCCACTACTCTTAGCCCCATTCTTCAGAGCAGCAAGCTGAGGCTTCCAAGAAGGACCTTGTCTTGCCTGAGGTCACAGAGGCCAAGCCCTAACCACCATGCCCTACCAACTTCCACCCCACATGTTTCAACTTCAGCACTGGTTGGGCCACATTTTGTGACTTGGGCCTGGGTTTCCCAAAAAACCTATGTTCCTTGTGCTTCCTCATGCCCAGGAGTTCTCAGGGGAAAAACAAAAAACAAAAAAAACCACGCACTGGACCATCTCATTCATTTTCCCCTCCCACCTGCCGAACCTTGGCCCCTAAGGAACAGCGAGGTGCCAGGGTCTGATGTGCATCCGTGGAAGGGATGGGGAGGGGAGAGAGTCCCTTTCAGCGCCCAAGTGTGTGTGTGCAACTTCCTGCCAATGAGGAAACACTCGGCTCAAATCAGCCCTGGTTCTTCTTTCCTTGCTCTGGCCTCACAGGAGGAGCTGGCAGTGAGCCGTGGGCCGCGCTGGTCTCAGCCAGATTTCCCGGCCAAACGCGGGAGGAGAGATGCCCTGGACCGTCCTGCTCTTTGCAGCCGGTGAGCCTGGTGCCCCTGTGCCACCCCTGCTCCGCTCCCTCCACCTCCGCAACCTTGCCTCTGCTGGGGGGTGGCAGGGAGGGTATGTGTGTGCAGAAACCAGGTGCTGGAGAAGCTGAGCCCTGACCGATTTGCCCCAGAGCCTTGGAAATGCCCCAGGAGCATGGATTTCTGTTGTCCGGTCTAATTATCCCCACCCACATCAAGGGTACCAGAAATGCCAGCCCACCAGAGACAGCAGTGCCCACGCCCCATGACTCAGCCCTACTTGACCTCTGCAGGCTCCTACCTCCAGGGCTGGGGCAACAGGAGGATCTGCTGGGGGCTCAGAGGGTGGGGTGGGGAAGCTAGATAAGGGAAGGCTTGTGTCGACCTCACCTGAGCCAGGCACTCTGCCCGGGAGCCTGTGAGCAGCTGGGGAGACACTGGTCCCTCCTGCAGGAAGTCGTGCCCCAAAATCATATTCTTCACCACAGCCTGGAAAACAAGATAGAACCCCTCTGCCCTCCCCTTCTCCCCTCGGTCACCCTCCCTCCTGCCACCCAGGCTCCTTGAGCACACCACATCCCTTCCAGCCTGTGGCCTTTGCCCCAGACTGTCCCTCTGCCTGGAATGCTCGCCCCCAGTTCTTCCTGTGCCGTGTCTCCATGGAAGCCCTCTGTGGCTACCCTACCACCCTTGTCTCCCTGAGAAAGTCAGCCCCCACCCCTCCCCGGGGCAGGCATACCTTATCTGTCCGCATACCTTATCCGTCCGTCTATCTGTCTATCTCGTCTGCTGCTCTATCCCCAGCACCTAAACAGGGTCTGGCACGTAGTCAATTCTGTTGATCGAAGTAGTACGAGTATAATTGCGCTGCTGTGTAACATCCACGGCTATTATAATAAAATGACTCAAATGCAGCGATCTCTCACCACGTGCTGGGCACTCTACCCTTTCAACATCACAGTAGGGTAGGGAAGACTAGCATCCGGTTGTACATGAAAGCCAAGGCCCAGATAGGGTGAGCCACTTGCCCAAGGCTACACAGCCAGGCTGGCCTCTGCTCTAACCACCCAGACAGCCTCCCCTATCTTGCTTCGCAGGCTCCTTGGCTATCCCAGCGCCATCCATCATGCTGGTGCCCCCACATCCCAGCAGCCAGGAGGACCCCATCCACATCGCATGCATGGCCCCCAGGGATTTCCCGGGGGCGAATTTCACACTGTATCAAGGGGAGGAGGTGGTGCAGCTCCTGCAGGCCCCCGCGGACCAGCTCGAGGTCATCTTCAACCTGAGTGGTGGCAGCAGGGAGGTTCCAGGGGGACCATTCCGCTGCCAGTATGGCGTGCTCGGCGAGCACAGGCAGCCTCAACTGTCGAACCTCAGTGAGCCCATGCACGTCTCCTTCCCAGGTAAGGCCCTTCCATCATTCCTCACTGCCCCAGGCTCCATTTTCTCACCTCCGAGGCTTTGTAGGTGCTGTTCCCTCCACCTGGAAGTCATCACAGGACGAGCCACCTCTTGCAACTTGCCAGGACTTTCTCACTTTTCCTTGTTTAATCCTCACAGTCACCCCCATGCAATGGGTACAGCCATTCTCTCCATTTTCCAGATAAGGAAACTGAGGCACAAGAGATGAAGAGACTGGCCCAGGTCACCCAGCCAGCAGGTGGCAGAGCGTTAAACCTGGCATGCGTTCACCCTCCCTGAAATCCAGGCATTAAAACTGCATGCTCTCCTGCACCCTCCCTTGAGCACCTGCTATGTACCAGGCACTGTCCTTGGCACTGCAGGTTCAGCAGTGAATGAAACAAAGTCTCTGAGGTCTCACAGTTGACATTCCGAGGGATGGGGACAAACGATAAATAAGGAGTTTGGTAAACATTCAGTCTGCCAACAGGGGACAAGGAAAGTGGCAGGGATGAAATATAGCCTGGTGAAGGGATGAAATATAGCCCCAGCAGTGAAAGCGCCAAGTCCTAACCACTGGACTGCCAGGGAATTCCCAAGGGTGTCATTTTAAATAGAGAGGAGAGTGGCCAAGGAAGGCCTCTCTGAGGAGGAAACGTTTGAGCAAAGACCTGAAGGATGAAGAGTCAGTCACGTGAGTGTCGGGGGCAGGAGTGTTCCAGGCAGAGGAAGCAGGCTGTGCAAAGGCCCTGGGGCTGGAGCGCGCCTGGTGTGTTTGAGAGACATAGAGGCACCCCATACGGCTGAAGCATAGTGAGCAAGGGGGAAAGGTGGGGGAGATGAGGGCAGGGGGGAGGTGACGAGGACTGTGCAGGGTCTTGTGGCTGCAGCAAGGGCTCTGGCTTTTCGTCTGAGTGAGACAGAAGCCCTGGGAAGGCTGATGTCTTCCTCTGGGCTTTCCAGGAGAGGGGGCTGGGCCTGGGCTCTGGATCTAGGAGCCAGAGGGAAGGAGGAGCCTCTGGGTGGAGTCTCTGCTTCACCATCAGTCAGAATTTTCCTGCTGCAAAGAGAACTTTGTTGCCAGCAGAGGCCCACCGGCTGTGATGACAGAACAGTCTCTGTGTCCTTCCCCGGCCTCAAGTTCCACAATCAAAGGCCCCCTTCTCTCACCTTGGTCCTGTGGTCTCAGAGTGGGGAAGTGACACCCCTCCTGCCCCAGGTGAATGAATGAACAAGGGTGAACACTGAGAACACCAAGTGTGTGCCTCTCCTCCCCTCCGGGCTAGTTCCTGACCTCCGCTGGGAGCAGGGCATCTCCTGCTGGCTTCCCCCTCTCTCCAGGGAGGGGCAGCTGAATCTTTTGCAGAGACATTAACTGGAGCTGGGGCTTCATGCTTTTGTGGCTGACCTCTACGTGGGCCTCAGGGTCCACCATGTGACTGGGGGTGGATGTTGTCTGACTCCCTATTACCCAGCCAGCAGGACTCTTCAGGCCACAAGTAACTGAAAACTTGACTCAAATTGGCTTCAGCGACAAAAGGGGATTTGTTGGTTCACTGAACAGCACTGACTTCAGGCATGGCTGGATCCAGGTGCTCACTGATGTCAGGAATCATGTGCCACTTCTCAGCTCCGCTTTCTTCTGTGTCTTATTCTCAGGCAGGCCCTCCCTCTCAGGGTGTCAAAATTGTACCTTGGAGCCCCAGGTGTATATCCTACCAGCTTTGTAACGCTGGCCTGAGGAGTAAACCTCTCTTCCCAGTGGTCTAGCCAAAGTCCAGAAATTACTTTCATTGGCTCAGCTTGGGCAACATGCCCCTCCCTGAACCAATCAGGTTGGCCAGGGGGAGGGAATATGCTAATTGGCCAGAAACAGGTTTGCTAGATCCCCAGGGTCTAGCAACACCCAAACCAAATGGAGGAATGACAGGAGTCCCACCTTCTCCCTGCAACCCTACAGTTCCATGACCTGCCCAATCTCTCTTTTCCCATCTTCCTCTAGTGCCCACCTGGATCCTGGCACTCTCCTTGAGCCTGGCTGGAGCCTTCCTCCTCCTCGCTGGGCTGGTGACCACTGCGTTGGTCGTCAGGAAAGGTAACGGCAGGCAGAGAAAGCATGGCCCACCAGAACTTGTATATGCACTCCCACTCACACCCATTTTTAGGAGCACGGTTGGGAGTCCTTACTACAAAGGTTTAGCAGTGAAGAACCTTCCAGAATTTCTATGATGGTGGTGGGCAAGGGCAATTTATATATGTATATATACATGTATATGTGTGTGTGTATATATATATATATATATATACACATATATAAATTGTTGTAAAATATACATGACATAAAATTTACCATTTTAACCCTTTTTAAAAAATTATTATTGTTTTGGCCACGCTGCGCAGCTCGTGGGATCTTAGTTCCCTGACCAGGCATCAAACCCGGGCCCTGGCAGTGAAAGTGGATCGCCTGGGAATTCCTTTTTTTAAAAAAATTATTTTTAAATTTTTTTCATTTTAACCCTTTTTAAGTGTCCAGTTCGGCAGCATAAGTATATTCACTTTGTTGTACAACCATCGCCAACCATCCATCTCCAGAACTCTTTCATCTTCCCAAACTGTAACTGTCCCCTTTAAACACCGACTCCCCGTTCCCCCTTCCCACAGCCCCTGGCACCACTGAATTCAGTCTTTAAAAACAAAATTAAGCGGGAATCCCCTGGTGGTCCAGTGGTTTGGACTCTGTGCTTTCACTGCAGGGGCCACGGGTTCTATCACTGCTCGGGGAACTAAGACCCTGCAAGCCGCATGGCGTGGACTTAAAAAAACAACAACAAAAAACCCAACAATTTTACATGCTCGTACCTTGTTTGAAGTTTTTACCAACATACATTGATCATGAAATTTGGGGAAAAAAAGTGTCTTCAGTAGCTCCCCTGTTGAGTGGGAAATTTGCCAGCGAAGAAGGAAAGGCTGGGCTACAAATGTATGTGGGCCTTTTGGTTTTTTGGCTTTTTGCAACCAGGATGCAACCAGGACCAAAATCTAACAAACACTTTTTTTTCTCTCCCAGTTAAAGTAAAAAACTTGCAGAAGAAACGGTGAGACCATCCCTGGAGACCCTCAGAGGGTGGTTTTGGGGAAAGAAAACTCAGTCCCAAGGCAGGAGTTCCTGATGGCCATTAAAGACTCTGATAGCTGGCCGGGTTCTGGGGGAAGAAGGGTCCTTCCAGGGCTCCACCCCAAACAGCGTCTTCTGGTGGGAGGCTGGCTTAATAGAAACAGGTGCTATTCAGGAAGCGCCTACGGTGTGCCCAGCATTGTGCTGCGGGACTCTGGACCCTGAGCTCACGTGATCCTCGTGGCAGCGCTGGAAGCAGGCACTAGGAATGGCCCCATTTTACAGATGAGGAAGCTGAGGCTTCCTCGCATCCCTTTACGGCCATTTGCCAAAATTTGCTAAGTAATCATTCTAGAAATCCACAATTATGGGAGAGGCGAGTGGTGCCCCCTGGGGTTGTGCAGCGCCCAACTTGTAGCCTGTAGACAGTGGCCCTGGTTCCTGGGCATCAGAATCTACTGGCTCCAGCCTCGGTTTCTCCCCTCTGAGAGAGGGGTGGACACCGTGCTGCCTAGTGGCAGAGAACTAGCAGTAGCCCCGGTGATGGAATCCTGACTTCACATGGCTGTGGGGCTCCTGCGAGAGAATTTCCATCTGAGGGGATTCAGGGAGGATGCGGAGGTGGGGTGGGGAGGAAGGGCCAAGTTTGACCAGGGCTACCTGGAACGAGCCTCCTGCCTGAGACAAGTCATCACTTTCTCCTGAAACCCTCTGCAGGGAGCGAGAATCCTGCTGGGCCCAGGTTAACTTCGCCACCACAGGTCTGTGCCTCCCCGTTCCCGTCCCTCACCGGGGTAGGGTCACTGCCTCAAAATGCCATCGGGTCTCACTACTCGCTACTGAGCCCCTTCTACAGCTGCTCACTTCCCTTAGAGTTGAGAACACACGCTCCCCTCTTTCTCCCCCATCCCCTGCCGTTTCCCGACCAGGTTCACCTTTTTTTTTTTTTGGTGTGAACATCTTTCACCTCTTACCTCTCCTTGCCCCATCCTCATGCCTTTCACTCATTCTGCCCTCTGCCTAGAAGACTTTTCCTCCCTGTGGTCTGTCTAAAGGTCGCCTCCTTCGGGAAGCCTTCCCTGGCTTCCTAGGCAGGATCTACTCTTTCTACTTACATGCCCCCAGAGCCCTGTCGTTCTTCTTACCCCTCAGTAGAAACACAATTAAGTAATCATTGCGTGCTTGGGTGTGTGACACTCGCCTCCACCACTGGACCATCAGCTCCAAGGGGGTGGGGAACTGCACCTGTCTTGTCCACCATCAGGGCACCCGGCTTTCACAGTGCCTGGCACCGTCCTTAAATGGAGCCCCACTTGTGGTCCAGAATGTGCTGTTCTGCTGGGGGTGGGGAGAGGGACCCAGCCTGTGAAGTGCAATGCCCAGGAAGGGGCTCCAAGCAGAGAAAACTCCATTCTCTGTACTTCTTTCACTGTCTCACGTATTTATTGAGCACCCCGACTATGTGCTAAGGTCTGGGGTCTCCCAAGATAACCAAGACAGAGGTGGTTTCTGTCCACAAGCCCATACTCCGATGGGGAAACAGCCCATGGCGGGCCGGACCCTGTCTGGGCTAGGAGGCTAGTCCCCAGAGGAAGTGGTGTTGAATCAGAGACCTATAGGGGGGAGCAGGGAGTAGCTGGGTGAAGAACGGGCAACCCAGGGTGGGGGAGGAGCTGAGAGGTGTTCTGGAAAGTGGAAGTGGAGACAAGGCACCATTTTCCCAGAGGTCAGCCAGAGGTCCCTGAGGGAGGGTTCTGAGCGGTGGAGGGACACAGTTCAATTTGTAGCTGTGCACAGTGCACCCTGTAGAATGGGCTGGAAGGGGGCAAAGAGGATGAGGGTTGATGGACCTTACGCCCTTCCTCATGGTTGACTTGGGGCCTGTGGGCTTGCGGGGAGGGCCTGGGGAGGGCGATGAGCAGGAAATCTGAACCGGCCCCCATCCTGGTCTTCTCTTTCTGTTGCAGACATGTCCTTCGATAACTCCCTGTTCACCATCTCCGTAAGTCGTCCTGTTTCTCGGTCCCGATTTTCTACTGACTGTCATGACCATGGGAAGTTTGGGGCTACCACCAGGCTGGGTTGACCTGTTTGCCTCTGAGCTTCTGGGGTCTGGGAGAAGCCCAGAATCACTGAGCGGGGATTGTTTGTGAGCTGAGAGTTGGCACTGGAAAATTCCAGGGGATTGGAGGTAGGCACGTTGTCCAGGCCTTCGTGGGGCAGTGGGCAGGCCCCTGGTTGTCAGCACTGCCTTTGCACTCAGAATGGTGACAAGGGACTCAGGGTGACCTGGTGGCTTCTTTGGGGTCATGGAGCCTTGTGACAATCTGGTGCACACTGTGGTTCGCTCCTGGTATAAAGAAAAGCCTACTTTTGTGTTCAGTTTCAGGAACTTCAGCTTAGCTGTCCCAGACATGCGTCTCCCTTTCAAGGGGGAGGGTCTCAACCCTCATTCCCATCCCCACTCCTCACCCCCTGCTTAGCAAGGGGTGTTGCTCCGCCAGATCACACAGTGTCCTGGCTGGGATTTGAACCCAGGTCTATGGGACTCCTCTACACAGCTGCATCTTGTGATGGCCTTGGGGTACTTATTATTATTAGTTTACTAAATTAGAGATATCTGACCCCTGGACACGATGGATCAAGAAAATGTCCAGCTAGGGGAATTCCCTGGTGGTCCAGTGGTTGGGACTCCACACTTCCACTGCAAGGGGCCCAGGTTTGATCCCTGGTGGGAAAAACTAAGATCCCACATGCCGTGTGGCATGGCCTGGCCAAAAAAAAAAAAAGAAAAAAGAAAAGAAAATGTGCAGCTAGCTCTTCTCCATGCAGAGAGGGGTACAGGTCTGGGGTGCAGGTGGTCCCCCTTGAGGCGGCCTCAGAAGTTCCATTTGTGTAAGTGGACGCTTTGGGACTTCAGTCAGGGAGCCTGGGGTGGAGTCAGTCTGCTTGGGGCACCATGGTGGGGAGGGGGTGGGGGGAGGTTTGGATGGGTTCAACATAGCCTTCCTGGTCATCTGGACAAGAACAAGATGAGGCCCTTCATCCCTCAGAGCTTCTTAATTCTACAGGGGGAGACAGACAATGCCATGTGGGGTAGGAGTGACCAGGAAGCTCACTTAGGTGGGAGATCCGGGAGGTCTCTGAGATTAGCGACAAGCAGGAGGTAGCTGCGGAGGATTGATCCAGGCTCAGGACACGTTCTTGGCACGGCCCAGTAGGGGTGCAGCGGAGTGAGGAGTAGAGAGGGGCGCCGCGCGGAATTTTGACTTTAACTTTGACCCCAAGTGAAGGGTGAGCCATGAAAGGTTCAGGGCAGAGGTGAGACTTGACGTGATCTATGTGCTCACGGGCGCCCTCTGGCGGCTTCGTGAAGGATAGACTGTGGGGGACCGTGGACGGACGGGAGCTGGGGGACCCGGCAATGGTTCAGGCGCCAGACGTGGCGGGTAGTTTGGGCCAGTGTGTTGGCAGCGGAGGTGGAAGAAGCGAACAGATGCAGGTCAGGTAGATTCAGGGGATGGGAAACACGGCACTGATTTTGGAGTGGATGAGTGGGCCGAGGGAGAAGGAGGCGTGGCGGAGTTCCGGAGAGACAAGAGACAGGTCACCTCACTCAGTGCTGCCACAGAGCAGATGGAGACTGGACCCCAGTCACTGGTATACAGATGGTGGGAAGGAAGGGGCTTGGCACTGGCCTGTCCAGCCCTCTGAGATCTCAGCTCAGGGAACAAATCCTGAGCTGTTAAGAAAAGCCTGGCAGGCGGGGCAAGTTCTGAAACCTTCTGTGAGAAGTCACACCGCTCAAGGCACTAGCCTGGTGATTACTGCCTCCCCCGCCCCCCCCCCCCCCCCCCCCCTTTTTTTTTTAAGGCATTTAAAACGAAACGGTGGAAAACAGAGAAAAGGAAGGAGAAAAATAACTTATTTCAGTCCTGGTGACTTTAAAAATACATTTTTTTTAGTTAAAATTTTTTTTGACTATGAAATACATCCAAATGTAAAAACTATATACATAGTAAAATTCTCTTTCGTAATCCCTCTCCACCCACTGGTCTCCCCCTCTGCACACAGACGTACAGGTAAATCACCATTAGGAGCTTCCTGCACATACAAGCAAAGGCAAAAATAGCAAGTCTATATCCTCACTCTTTTTAACACAAATGACAGCATGCTAGCCACACTGTTATGAACGATGCTTCTTTTCCTTAACAGTAAATTCTAGTGATCTTTGCTAGTTTTTAAAAAAATCATTGTAAAATAGACATAAAATTTACCATTTTAGTCATTTTTCAGTGTACAGTTCTGTGGCATTAAGTGTATTCATATTGTTGAACAACCATCACCACCATCATCCCCAGAACATTATCTTGCAAAACAAATCCTGTCCCGGGACTTCCCTGGCAGTCCAGTGGTTAAGACTCAGCACTTTCACTGCAGTGGCCTGGGTTCAGTCCCTGGTTGGGGAACTAAGATTCCACAAGCCACACGGTGTGGCCAGAAAAAATAAAACTCTGTCCCTATTAAACACCAACTCCCTGTTTCACCCCCACTGCAGGCCCTGGCACCCACCATTCTACTTTCTGTTTCTTTGATGGATTTGCCTATTCTGGATTTTACACAGAAATTATGCCATACAGTGTTCATATTTATGAGTCGTAGCCACCCCGGGGGTGTGTGTTGGCATTCTCCCCCATTGTACAAAAGGGGAAACTGAGGCACAAAGGGGGCCATCACACCTCATCAGGGAGAGGGGGAGCTGCGATTCGATCCTAGGCTGTCTGTTCCCTATTCAGCAGAGAAGAAGGCAGGACAGACAGCAGGATCAGGGCGCTGAAGCTGTGTGTGTGTGGGGTGAGGTGAGACCCGATGGACTGGGGGAGTCTCGGGCTCAGAACATGGGGCAACCCGAGATCCTGAAACCCCAAATCACCCGCTTCTCTATTTTTCCTCCACGGACACAGAAAATGACTTCAGAAGAAGACGCAGCCACCCAGGATGCTCCCTCAGGCTCTGCTGCGACACCTGGCAACTCTGGGACCCGGAAGAGGCCCACCTCCACGTCATCCTCACCTGAGCCCCCAGAATTCAGCACATTCCGGGCCTGCTAGGGGAGCCCTTCCCTCCGTCTGCGTGCCCTCCGTTCAGCCCTCCCCCTTGAGCTGGCTGGGCTTTGCAGGGTCTCAGTTCCCTCCAGCTACGTTGGGGACTTCTCGCTGCTGCTTCCTCAGGGCAGTGAACAGAGGAAATGAAGGGGACCCCCTGGCCTTGGGACCTTCCTCGCAGAGGAGCAGGAGTGGGAGAGGGGATGCAAGCATCTGCCTGGAGTTTGGACAGAAAGCAGGAAGCCTCTCTGGATTGCCAGCTTTTCAGACCACCACGGAAGGAGCTGTTAGGATCCCTCAGCCAGGCCATTATGAAGTCTGAGCTCTCCACACACCCCTCCGCTTTCCTTCGTCCCATGCATAACATGGTGTGGACACCATGCACACTGTCCCATGCAAAAACCCAATAACACCTGACTTGGGTTTTTGGAGCATAGGGTACCTGGGGGTTATATTCTATGTGCCCTGCTGGCATGCCTAAGTTATTAATTATAATGCTTGGAGCTGTTCCCAAGGCCTCTGTGGAGTGTAATCTTTCAAGCCCAGCACCTCTGGGGTCCAATCACTGATTGCAGGGTGGGGGGGGGGGGGCAGTACCCCTCAACTGCAGGCAGTCAGGGTGGTGTATGGGGAGGCCCATGGGGGTGTAGGGAGGGGGGCAGTGCCATGTGGGGTCTCTGCTAAAGTCCTTGCATTGGTGAATACAGGAGGTGGAATGATGGAATGCTTGAGGAGAATGAGTAGTAAATGAGCAGGTCCAGGGACTTCCCCGCCGGACTAGTGGTTAAGACTCCTCCTTCCCAATGCAGGCGGCGCGTGTTAGATCCCTGATCGAGGAACTAAGATCCCGCAAGCGGCACGGTGGGGCCTTAAAAAAAAAAAAAAGCAGGTACCGGGAAGAGTGGCAGCTGGAGATGGCGGGCAGCCGCAAGCACCTTTGGAAGTCACCAAAGAGGAGAGTGGGGGCCTTGGAGCAGTGGAGGGGGGACTTGGAGGGAAGATGGGTGTGTGTATCTGTGTATTGAAAGGGGCACTAGGCCCTAATCTGCTGGATTCACTGGTCAGCCATCACTGCGGGAAGGGAGAGTGAGTTGGGGTGGGGGGGAAGGGGCTAAAAGAGAGGTCCAAGAATTTTTTTGTGGGGGCGAAGACAGTGAAGGGCCAAGGATGGAGGAGGAGGGCACTGGGGGAAGCGGCTGGAGATGATGGGGAAGAGAGAAGGAGAGGTTGAGTGCTCGGAGAGGGGGCAAAGGTGGCGTGCAGAGGCCAAGTCCACGCTCAAACTGCTTTATCCAGAGGGCGCGCTGGGGGTGGAGCCACAGGCTGGGGCGTGTCCCTACGTCCTGTCCCCGCCCCTCACTCCGGCCCTCCCCAAGAACCCAGAGATTCACAAAGCGAGACCAGTGGTGGGGTGGGGAGCAGGACCGGCATAGGGGCGGGGCCTCTTCGCAGCTGGACCCCGCCCCTCAGTGAGCCGCCGTACAAAGCCGGGCGGGACCAGGGGCAGAGCCCAGCCTCAGGGGCGCGTTAGAGCCTGTCGGGCGTCAGGCCCGCGGCCGCCGTTCCCCTGGCTGGGGGAGCCGCCTCACACAGCACGGCCGCTTGCGCGGGGCGGGGCTCCAGCGTGTGTCCGCACGGCCGAGCACCGCCCTTTGACGCGCGCTCCGAGCTGGGCAGCCGCACCGCCTTACAAAGCGCGGCCATTCGGGCCGCGCCGGGCTGGGGGCGGGGCCCAGCCCTAGGGGCGTGTCCGCGCGGCCGAGCACCACTCCTGACGTACGCTCCCGCCCTCGCTGTTCCTGGCCCAAGGAGTCACCTCACAAAGCTGCGACCGCTAGCGCGGGGCGGGGCGGGACGAGGCGGGGCCGGGCCGGCCCCGCCCCCCAGCGTGCTTCCTCCCAGAGCCCAGGGCCGCCGGCAGGGGGCGCTGCGTCACGGGGCTGGACCGCAGCGGCGGTGGCGGCGAGGCGGCGCGTGGCCATCCAGGCGGCGCTACCTGGCTCGGCCTCGGCCTCGGCCTGTGCGGCGGCGGCGGCGGCGGCGGCGGCGGCGGCGGCGGCGGCAGCGGCGGCGGCCTGGGCGGGCGCGGCGGCGGCGGCGGCGGCGGCGGCGGCGGGGCCTGGAGCCGGATCTAAGATGGCAGGAACGGCGGCGGCGGCGGCGGCGGGGCCGGGCGTGGGCGGCGCAGGGGCGGCCGGCCCGGGTGTCACGGGGCCCTGCGGGGCAGTGTCCGTGTTCCCCGGCGCCCGCCTCCTCACCATCGGCGACGCGAACGGCGAGATCCAGCGGCACGCGGAGCAGCAGGCGCTGCGCCTCGAGGTGCGCGCCGGTCCGGACGCGGCGGGCATCGCCCTCTACAGCCGTGAGTGCGGGGCCCCAGGGCCGGGCCGAGGGCCGGGCTGCGCGTGGGGGCTGCGCACGAGGCCGGACGGGCGGGGGGCCCGGGGTGGACCGGACGCAGCCGCGGTGAGGGGACCGGGGTCCCGAGGGTGAGGGGCCCTGATCCTTGGGGGCCTGGTATGGGCTCCGTGGGGCCGGGTCGAGGGAGCTGGATGTGAGGGGCCCCCGAGTGAGGGGTGTGGAGGAACGGTGTCAAAGGGGCAGAAAGAGAAAAGAGGGCGTGAGTGGTGGCCAGAGGTGAGGTGCCCCGAGCGGGAAATGGGGGAGTAGTGAGGGCCCTGAGATTGGGAGGGGGTGGGCAGGAAGTGGGGGGCCGAGAGTGCAAAGTAAGAATTCGGAGGAAGCCGGGGGTGGGGGGGGCTGGGTGGGAGGGGAGGGGGCCTGGGCGTGGGAGAGGTGGGAGTCTGTGGGCGGGTGTGGCCGCTCTAGCAGGGAGGAGGGAGGGGTGTGGGCAGCCTCTGGCTATCTCAGGGGACCCTATGGACTGCCAAGGACGGTTGAAAAGTGGTGCCCAGTCTGGGGGGACCTGGAGCACCCTGTGCCACTCATCTGGAGGGCTTGGCCTTCCGGATCCCCGAGTGGGAAACTTCTGGGTCTGGGGAGAGGGGTCCTGCGAGGGTGGTGCGAGCTGCTGTGTGTGCGCCTCGTGGAAACGTGGACGGGGAGGGCCCCTATCTGGATGCCCAGCTCCGAAGTAAGAGGTAACACGGACTCCTCCCTGGCCACGGTCTTCCGATCTTCCTTTCTGGGGATGTGAGAAGCTGGTTACATTTTCTGAAGCTAGTTTCAAAACTGACATTAAGGTGGAAAAAAAAATCACAAATGTGTTTGCCAAGGACCTCGCGTCTTTGTAGTTCATCCTTTTTCTTTCTCTTGTTACTCTTTCTTATCAGTTCTCTCCGGTCACGATTCCTCCTTCACATTTTTTTAAAAAATAATTAATTAATTAATTGTTGGCAGTGTTGGGTCTTCATTGCTACGCGTGGGGTTTCTCTAGTTGTGGTGAGCGGGGGCTACTCTTAGTTTCGGTGCGCGGGCTTCTCATTGCGGTGGCTTCTCGTTGCAGAGCGCTGGGCTCTAGGCGCGCGGGCTTCAGTAGTTGTGGCACGTGGGCTCAGCAGTTGTGGCTCGCCGACTCTAGAGCCCAGGCTCAGTAGTTGTAGCGCACGGGCTTAGTTGCTCCTTGGTATGTGGGATCTTCCCAGACCAGGGATCGAACCCGTGTCCCTCGCATTGGCAGGCAGATTCTTAACCACTGCACCACCAGGGAAGTACCTCCTCCTTCACATTTTGTTATTCTGTTACACTCAGCTTGGTCTCTCCGGGTTTCTTGCACTGATGCTCTGTGGAGTCACTGAGGGAGCCTCTCCTGGCTTTGGCCTGTGTGAGTTTTTTGCCACTTCGGGAACGGGGATTTTCTGAAGAGAAGTGTGTGGAGCAGTTGGTTCCCACACAGGATTCTCTCCACACCTCAACTTGGAAACCCCAAAATAAAGGAGCTGTGCGTCTGTCCCCAGCGTCGCACCTCTTTTTGTTGGGGCAGAGCTGGGTCTTCTTGGATCAGATGAGGAGAAAGAAGGGTATCCTCGGTGGGCATCGGAGCTCAGGACAGACACTTAAGCTCAGCAGGATCCCCCAGATCACAAGCATGGCCATTCATTCAACACGCATTAATGCGATACAGAACAAAGAAGGGCAGTGTTTCTCAAACTAGGGTTCCAGGGCTGATCCGCAAAGGAGTTCCCGGGGAGGTGGTTTATCTTTGGTAAATAAACTTGATTTTAGAACAGTTTTAGATTGATAGAATTACTAGGGAGATAATACAGAGCGTTCTCATATACTCTACACATAGTCTCCTCTCTTTACATGTTTCTCCAGGAGAGTTTTTACTTTTGTGTTTTTGTTTTGTGGATCTACTTGGAATTGTTACTAGTTACAAAGGGAACACTTCCCTTTTTAGAGGTCATTCATAACTGAAGCGATCGTCAAGAGGAGAAAGTCCATGTTTCTCAAACTGAGAGCCTCAGTCTGAAATTATTTCAGACCCCTGATGATAAAGTCTCATAGGTCTGAAATAATTTTTTCCTCTTTAGGCTCAAGTAACATTAGTGTGAGGTATTAGTGTAAAAGTATGGGTTCTGGAGTTGGCCAAAGCTGGTTGTATTAGTTTTCCAGCGTTGCCGTAACAAACTTGGTGGCTTAAACCAACGGGAATGTATTCTCTCATAGTTCATGGGCAGAAGTCCAAAATCAAGGTGTCGGCTGGGCCACACTCGCTCCACAGGCTCTAGAGGAGGATCCTTTCTTGCCTCTTCCAGCTTCCAGTGACTCCAGGCGTTGGTTGGCTGGAGGCCACAGAAATCCAGTCTCTGCCTCTGTCTTCACATGGCTGTTCCCCTGTGTCTCTGTGCCTTTTCCTGTAAGGTCACCTGTTGCTGGATTTAGGGCTCACCCTAAATCCATTATCTTAGATCCTTAATTATGTCTGTAAAGACCCTTTTTCTAAGTAAAGTCATATCCACAGGTTCCGGGGGTTAGGGCTTGGACATATTTTGGGGGGCATCCACTACGTGGGCTAGACTGGTGCCCTGAGGGTAGTTGTGGGTCTCTGTGCCTCAGTTTCCTCGACGGTAGAATGGAGATGATGACAGGACTGTGGCACAGCGTGTTTGCTCTATGAACGAACACTTCTTCTTTGGAGGCAGCACCTGCTCCGGTAAGGGCCTGGTGATGGCCTCAGAGTTGGTCGGGTTACTGCTCAGGGCGGGGCAGCCCTGGTTCCTGAGCCAGCTCCGCCTGGGGAGCACGGGCCTCCGGGGAAGAACTTCTCAGAAGTCTGCCGGGGGAGTGCAAAGTCCTGGATCAGAGATCAGGCCCGGCCTGCTGGGTGTGGAGGGCTGGCTGACGGTCCCTTGGAAAAAGGCAGAGATGGTCCAGCCACTGGGGGGACTTAGGGGTGAACCACGCTGCTGCTGGGAGCTTTAGGCTTTCTCTCGGGATGAACTTCGTCCCTGGCTTCAGCATTTCCCAACCTGGACCCTTCTGGGACCCGAATGCTTTGGCCAGGTGAGAAGGCTTCAGGAACCCTGTTGCGCTCACCTGTCCCTCGTGAGGGGAGGTCTTGCGAGCCACTGGTGATTCCAGATCCCGGGCATTCGCCTCTGTGGGTGGAACTGGGGTGGGAGCGGGTGGGCGGTCGACCGAGATATCCGCCCGAATCTCCCAGTGTCTCACATCTGGGAGCTGAGGGTCCTGAACGTGGAGTGTGACTGGTGTGAGTCACCAGCTACGCGGCCTTGAACTAGCCATTTCACCTGTAGCAGCCCTGTAGCGACACCTGTACACGTCTTCCGTTTCCTCACCTGCGATGGGAATAGTGCCACTGGGGGCCCGGGCATGCGGGGGAGGTGCAGCACGGGGTTGTGGAGCAGGGTGTCGGCGGTGAAGGGTAGATCTGTCTATAGATGTTATCAGTGGTGATGCTACTGGCGTGGAATGGTGAAGAGCTGGCTTTTCTAGGAGGGAGTCCCTTATGCTGTGGGGCTGCCCAGCTGCCTTGCACCCCCAGCAGATGGGAGGGGGGCCCCTGGGCTGCCACCTCTGTCTCAGGCAGCAGGGCTGGGAGATGGGTGTGGGTAGCAGGACAGCCAGCCCCTTTCCTTGACGTTTGCCCCCTCCCTGTGGGAAAGAGGACAGCTGAGGAAGGTCCTGTCCCAGTCACCCTGCAGTGAATGGTGACCCTCCCCACCCCTTCTTTTTTTTTTTTTTTTTTGGCCTCGTGGCTTGCAGGATCTTAGTTCCCTGACCAGGGTTCGAACCCGGGCCCCCGGCAGTGAAAGTGCAGAGTCCTAACCTCTGGACCTCCAGGGAATTCCCTCCCCACCCCTTCTTGCCACTTGATGTCACCCTGGCCCGCGTCCATGGGATTGGCTAAATGGCAATTACCGAAACTGGGCTGTTTTCCTTGGGCAGAGTTGCTGGCTTCCCGGGCCTTGAGGAAGCTTTGGCACAGGCTCTGGAGCCCTTGGACATGGGCTGCCATCCCCTTGCAGGGAGGCAGCTCCTCGGAAAGCCCATCCTGGGGCGGCGAGCAGAACAGACTCTCAGTTCCTCAGCCCCGTGGCGGCCTTTCTGGAGCTGACTGTGCTGCTTTTCTCTTTCGGTCCTCTGACCTGTCCCCGCTGCATTGGCTAGGAAGGGATGTATGGCAGGGCTGGCTCTGACGGGCTAAATTTCAGTTCGTGGGGGACGTGCCAGGGGTGGAAACCCCAGAGAAAAACCCTCTGTAAAAGCAAGGTGAAGCATGACCTGCTGTTCTGGAATCAGGACCCTGTGACTTCCTTCAGTCACCCTCCTGGTAGCCCACACCCCCGGTAGCTGCGGCAGGGGGGTGGTAGTGAGAGGGTTTGGAAGAGTTTGTCCTCCACCCAGCCTTGAGGACATTCAGTGTCAAGCTGGGGGGAAGACCCAGAAAGTTACACCAAAAGGCATTCACGTTTCAGTGGTGCCTGCTAGTTGCTGCTGGCTGCTGTCATTTATTGAGCACTTACTGTGTGCCAGGCCCTGCTTAAACCAGTGTTGACAGACCCAAATGCTTGACTTTGAGGGCAGCTGGGGAAAGGATAATTATATAAAGCAGGGCCTGTGGGCAAGCTATGGCCCGTGGACCAGATCGGGCCTGTGGCCAATTTTTTAACCGGTGACGGCTAAGGGCGGTTTGTACATTTTTTAAAAAATTAATTAAATAATTAATTTTTGGCTGTGTTGGGTCTTCGTTGCTGTGCCCGGGCTTTCTCTAATTGCGGCGAGCGGGGGCTACTCTTCGTTGTGGTGCGCGGGCTTCTCATTGAGGTGGCTTCTCTTGTTGCGGAACACGGGCTCTAGGCGTGCGGGCTCCAGTAGTTGTGGTGCACGGGCTCAGTAGTTGTGGTGCATGGGCTCAGTAGTTCGTGGGCTCAGTAG